GTAAGTGCTTGCCTGGTTAGGGCACTTCTCAGAATTAAAATGCACAAGTAAAGGAATTTTTGGAAAAATACTAAAGTATTACATATTGGGTTTTGAGTTCCGAACTGCTATATACATGTGACAATATCTCTAAATGAGCTTATCAAATGAAATGTTAATGACATTTCATATTCATAGAATATTACAAATAATTTAGAAGGTATTAATAGATATTTTAGAAATATTTGGCCTGAGATTGTACTTTTGTTCTGTGATGTTGGTACATAATATAATATAGTGTTATTAGAATCCATAAATAATAATGTTAAATGTGATTATAGCAGAAATGATGAAAAGATATGTGGTCATTCTCCTTACTAACTTTATAATTTTTTGTACTTCAAAAATGTTCTTTAAATGAGCATGGGAAAACAGGAGTCTAGTATATTAAAAAAATTGGAGAAATTATATTATTCTGAGATATTAGGACACTAAAGTAGACATAAAACAGGTAAATGAATGAGACATTGTAGGAATACAGGGATAGATTTTTCTCTAACATGGTCAAGTGATTTTCACTAAAGTTGATAAGAAGAGAAATATTGTTGGAAAACTGGATATATCTATTAGAAATAGCTTTTGACCATTCTTTCATGGTATGTTAAAATTGTTTTGCAGTTCACTGTAGACCTAAATATAAGCTAAAACTGTGACCTTCTGGAGTAAAATATGCCGAAGAAAGTTATTTTGATGTTGAGTGGACAACTATTTCATATATATATATATATATATATATATATATATATATGTATTATATATCTCACTATAACAATTACTCAAATTAAAATTCATTTAGATGCCATCACATACTGTCTATATTGACTATTGTTAAAATTTCTGCAAATATCAGAGGTGGATATATACCTCAAAGAAGAGCACTGGCCTAGCATCTTCAAAGCACTAGATTCAATACTCAGAAAATAAACTTTAAAATGCCAAGTTCTCAGTATTTATTATAATTGAAGTTCACATACATTATTTATGGCACAAAAATAGTACATAAAATTTGAAAATAATGTTAATTACCAAAGGAAGTCCATCTCACTTTTAACATATGACTGTTAATTCTGTTTCCAGAAATTCATAAGAAAAATGAAAACAATCAATATAAAAGGTCTTCTCTGGTAGTGTGAGCTATAATTTGATGATGGAAATTTGTAATGTAACAACCAATGTTAATTTCCTGTTCTTCTTTTGAAATTCTGCACCTCTTTTATTGTTTTATGATGCTTTGTTTTTCTCTTTGTTTGTTCTTTGCCTTTGTGTCTTTCCTCTTTAAAATGAAATTTTAAAAATATATGAAAAGTCTTATTCACAAATATTTAACACCTTTACTTATAGTCACTATACTGGAAATCATAAATACATCAATTTCTGAGTGGATAAATGCATTATATCCACACCATGGGATATTGTTCACAAAAAAATGGCATACTTGTACAAACATCATCATGGGTAAATATAATGAAATGATGACAAATCAAGAATGATTATGCTATTATTCTATTAATAAGAAACTATAGTGAAAAAATTAATGATAAAAATAGCATCCATAAAACTTAAGGTCTGGAAAGATGGTAAAATGGTAAGCAGAGAAATAGTATACAATTTGGAGTACAGATAATACTGTATGCTCATATGGCAACATGAGGAAGAAGAGATAGGAAGTGTGTCCCTGGGAGTCAGCAAGGATGTGAAGGTAGAACTGGAGGCCATAGGAAGTGTGAAGAGGGAGAGAACTCGATGCTCAAGGGAGATGTGGAAAGTAATGCTTTTCCCCCATACCTGGCTCGTAATGTGTGAGGGTTGCTAGAAACTGCAGAGTAATAGTCACCACTGGACACTTGAGAGGGCTCCACAGAGAAATCCTCTAGTGAAGTGGAGCCGTGGACAATGGGAAATGCAGTGGCTGGTGAATTTTCCTTATGCTGACAACCTCCAGGAGAGGGTGACAGGCTGGTTGCCATTTTGGGAAGGCACCAGCTGAACTCAGAACTCAGAGCAGCTGTCTGTGGCCTTCAGCTCTGTCTGGTCGCTCTCTGTATCAGAGTGAGGCTAACATAGCAGGAGTCAGGGAGCCTGGATTAAGCCAACAGGAGATACCTGGAGTGTTTCAGGCTGAACAACTCAGATCCCAGCCTCACAGCAGGAACCCAAAAGCAGTCTGAATTTCATGGCTCTCAAAGCATATGCTTACTGGTATTCTCCACCAAAGTGCTGTAATTCTTATGGCTTTCTGGGATTAATCACTACGGACCTGGGCTCTTTATGCCCTCCTCTGTCTAGCAATGACAGTAGAGATGTGCATTGAAGTATACATTTTTCTTTTTCTTTTTTCCTTTATTCTTATGTTATTATTATTCATTCTTATTTTTATATAACTGTGACTATGTCTCTAGTTTTGTTGTTGCTGTTTTTTCTGCTTTTGTCTGTATTTTTTCTTCTTCATTCCCCTTATGTCTTCTTCAAAAGACTTACAAAGCTTTTACATTCTTCCTTAGTTCACCAACCTTGCTTCTAACATTTCCCCCCTCTTTTATTTTTCAGCATTTTTTCCCCTCATCCCTTTTAAATTTTCTCCTGTGTGGGGAAAATCACCATATTGGTAACATATTTACTGTATACAATTTTCTGGCCTTTCTTAGGTTTTGTTAAATAATCAAAAATCTTGTTCATGCAGTTAAAGTTGGCAAGTTAGTAGTTACTACAGTTTATTATTCCCTAGACTGTTTTATGCTGTTATTGATAGTACTATTTTAGCAAGGTGTTATTCTGCAATACCAGATTGATGTACGGAATGGATAGGAAAAGTTCAGATTCATTGACAGCTCCAAAAATCCATTCAGATAGAGGAAGTATCAGATATTTAACTGATAACTGATACTACACTCGATCTTAGCCAAAAGGCTAAGAAGAGGGTCGTCAGGTAGTTCAGTGGCCCAAAGTGCCTGCATAGACAGGTGTAGGACCAGGTTTCAATACCCAGCATGCTGTACCAGCCCTGTCCCTGGAGCATACTGAGATAGTGGTTGAGACTAAGTGTGGTAGCCTGTGCCTGTAATCCCAGCACTTGGGAGGCTGAGAACAGGAGGATCACTCTGAGTCCGATCTTTGTAGTGAGACCCTATAGACCCTGTACTAAATGAATAAAAAGGCTAAGAAGTGCTGTCATAATTATTCTAATCAGTTGTTACTTCCAGTGTGAAAAGATTAAGATTGCCTGAGAGTCATAAATGTACTGTAAGGCAGAATGAAAGTACCAGGAGCTAGGCCAAATAGGGACCAACTTTTCATTCCCAATAAATTGAAGGTGTAGGATATTATAATGGATTCAAACCCAAAAGCAAACTATACTCACAAGACATCTCTGAAAACTAGTGATTTCTTAAGGGTTCTAAATACTAGCAATAAAGCTACCTGCCCTCGGCAATTTACAAGCATCTATGCAGGAATTAAACTTTAAAAAAAGGAAAAAAAAAAACCCAGAAAATAAAAACACGGATGCAAGATGCAGCGCCAGACATCTTATTATGAAGTGATCAGGTCTACAATCTCCCAACTGGACTGTGAAGACTTAAATAAAAGAGACAAGTGGTCTGATTTTAGGGTTTGAGGTGGATCAAAACCCTCTAGCAGAGTGCCTGTTTCTCTGGGGGCCGAGAAAAAGAACTTCTCTGGATGGCCCATTTTTATTTGGTTTTCAAAGAAGGGAGGATGATGCTGAAGAAAGCATGGGAATATGAGCAAGATCTTGGGAGTCAGTTCAAGGACTTCTCCAAGTAATAGATTATGTTAATTGAGAACTATGTCCTCTCCAGAAAGACCTTTAAGATAGGAGTGAGATGTCTGAACCTGTAGTCTTTTTTTAGTTAATTGGGAATGGAGCCAGGTGTCCTTAGCTGTGACCTTGTCTTGTCCTTTGAGGTGTCATGGCATCATAGGCCTCTACAGGCCTCAGCTGAGACCCGTGTTTCATAGAGGTTCACTTACTCCTTTTATTTATTATGTATTTAGTTCAGGATCAGCAGGGTCTCTCAGATATGTATTGGACTTTAGTGATCCTTCTGTTTTCAGCCTCCCAAATGCTGGGATTACAGGCATGTTCCACCATGCCCAGTCTCATTCACCATCTCATCATGTCCTAGGTCAGGACTGGCATGGCATTCCAGGGATGGAATCCCAGTCTCTGCATCTGCCTAAGCAGGTGCTTTAATCCTCTGAGCTGTCTGGCTGACCCTTCACTTAGTACTAATGCACTGCCCATCTCCTGATGAGGGGATTAGGCATTAGACAGATTCACAAGTAAATATAGAAAGCTCATTGGTTAATTCTAAATCCTCCTCAGAGACACATTTTTGTGATCTATATCACTTCCAATTCATCAAAAGCAACCTAGATTACAATGATGTGGAACAATTCAAAGACCACCCACCTGCACTCACTGAAATGGTAATAGTAGAAGTAACAAAGCAGATGAAGGAGTTTCTAGGAAAAAAACCAAGTTTCTCAGATAACTGTAGAGATGATGACCATAATGTAGAACATGGTTAGTGAATGTAGAGTACATACAGATACAAAATAGAAGAGGTTAGAAAAATTATGGAAACCATAAATGCCCAGCATAGGAAAAAAAGGGAATCCATTAAATGGATTCACACAGATATGGAGGAGCTTTAAAATTTTAATGAAAATGTATGCAGAAAAATCGGTTGATTTGAAGATAGAATATCAAATCTTGAAGATAGGTTTTTTAAAATTTTATTTAAAAGGAAAAAATAAAACAAAATTTCAAAATAAAATGATAGAATAAGAAAAGTAAATATGCTGTGTCTTATCTTCAAAATAGTCATTCAAGTTCTAAGCTAGAGGCATGAAAAATTGTCCAAACAATATTAACACAAAACTTTCTTTACAGTGAACTAGGATAATTTAGTATTGTATCTTAATTATGTTGTATACATAAAAATATAGGCTGCTTCATGAATTTGCATGTCTTCTTGTGCAGGGGACATGCTAATCTTCTCTGTATGTTTCCAGTTTTAATATATGTGCTTCTGAATTGAGCATGACAGGATTGTTTTCAATAATCATGAAAAGAAAGATTTTTTAAAAATAGCATGGAAAAATAAAAAAGTTCAATAGGTGTTGTGTGATGCAAAGAATAGCAGATTTTATCATATTCAATGAAAAGCAGATAATTGCACAAAAATACATTAAAAAATCATCATAGAAGTAATAGCAGAATACTTTCCAAGCATGAAAATAAAATTTGAGGGCCAGCAAGATAGCTGACATCCACTGAGATAGCTCTGTGGACTAAGCGCCTGTTTAAGCATGCACAGGGATCCTGGCACCACATGCTACACCAGTCCCACCCCTGGGTTCGCAGAGCTGGCCACCAAGTCCGGGCATGGTGGCACAGGCCTGTTGTCCCAGCGCCAGGAAAGGCTGAAAACCGGAGAATCACAAGTCCGAGCTGTGTAGTGAGATACTATACCAAATACATTTTTTAAAAAAAGAAAATTTGACTTACAGAGAAGTGAAGCATAGAAAACTGAAAGTAGCTATGATTTAAAAAATAATAAAACTTGCTCAGGGAGATAACTCAGCAGTCTAAGTGCCTACCTGGCAAAAGCAAGGACCAGGGTTTGATCCTTGGTACTTCATGCCCTTCCAGTTCCTCACTGAGCCAGACTTCGAATCTGGCATGGTGGTACACACCTGTAATCCCAGGGCTGGGGAGGTTGAGACAGGAGGATCATTACAAGTCTAAGCTGCATAGTGAGACCCTGTACCAATACCAGTAGTAGTAGTAGTAGTAGTAGTAGTAGTAGTAGTAGTAGTAATAATAATAATAATGATAATAATAATAATGGTACAGCAATGCGTATCATAGTCAAGATTCCAATTAGACACGTAAAAGAAAGAAAAAGATTAAAGATAGGAAAAGAAGAAGTTAAACTATCATTATTAGCAGCTGGCTTGCTACTCTACATAGAAGATGCCAAAAATTCCACCAAAAGACTTCTAGATTTACTAATCAAATTCATTCAGGTAACTGGATACAAAGTGAACACTTCAAAATAGTAGCATTCCTGTACAAATAACAGACTCACTGAAATGAAAAATAGGGAAATGACACTTTTCAAAGTAGCATTCAAAAAGTAAAATACTTAGGAATCAGTTTAACAAAAGAAGTAAAAGACCTCTACATCTCACTAGATGCAGAAAAACCATTTTACAGAGACAAATATAAATTCATGATGAAAACCCTATATAACATTAGAATAGATGATCTGCCCAAGATTAAAAGAATACTAATTCCTTTGTATATTGAAGAATGGCAAATATTTGAGAATGATAATTGTGAGTTAAACTGGCAGTTCAAAAGAAATTAACAAGTTTACTAATTGAAAAAAATTGTTTCTGCTCATGAAGATTACTTGACTATGCTCTCTCCATTTTCCTTGAAATATATTTTCATTGCCTTTATTTATGCTGTATTACTTAATGTTGAATTTCACATCTAGTAGTTTCCCCTCACTCAGGGAGCGGCTCTGAAATGGACATTTGATTGGCTGATTTTTGAAAATCCATGTTACAAATTGTTTCAGCCCTTTTTAGAACTTTTCCCCAACTGCTTGCCTTACTTCCACTCGAACTGCATAAAATCACTTCTGCTTTTATTCCTATATTAAAATTGGCTTGTGAAGTTCTAGTGAGTACCATTTGGAACTTCCACATTTTCTTGTTGCTTCCTTCTTCTTCCCACATAGACCCTTTTTCATGTATGTTATGACTTGTATCTAGACGTCCCTCCAAAGCTTCTTGTACTCATAGCTGGGGTTTTATGGAGGTGGCTGGATCTAGGGATTGTAATGGTGGGATTAAGATGTAATGCTGAGATTAATGATACCATGCTATGATTGAGGGTGCACCACTGTGGTTAGTTTATAAGGGCAGAAATATTTCTGCTCCTCACGTGCTGCTCATTGCTTGCTACTTTGCTGCTTGGCTGCCTTCTGCCAGCTGTGAACTCTTCTTCCTCTGCGACACCCTACTACCCTCACACCCTGCCTTGAAGCCGGCAAAGTGTGGTTTGAAACATTTATGAACTTCGAATTAAATCTTTTCTTATTTAAATTTGGTGTCAGGTATTTTGTCTCAAAGGTGAAAAGTAATTAAGACAATGTAAAACTTATGTTTATGGTATGTACCTTTTTATCTTTTGGTATTTAAAGTAATTTTTCAATTTTGCTGCAGTTACTATTTATTTATATCTGAAATCTAGTTGATGGAGTTTTTTGTGGGAGAGAATCAAGGTATGAAACTTTAACTGGTAGTGTTTCTGTCCATCTAGAACTCTGTTCTAAGGATTATATTTTAAAATTTTTTCAGTTGTTAAGCTTGCTTTTGTTGTATTTTAATACAGTTTTGATTTAATTTAATTTGGATCTCATAATCTCAAGTAATACTGTTTTAAATAACTTCTCTGCATGGCTTAATATACATCATCTAATTTTCTCAATATTCTATGTGGTAAAAACATTCTTTATTATTATTATCATCATCATCATTAGTTTTTGTATTTTAGGGAAGGGTCTACAGGGTGCTCAGAGTCTCACTACAAGTCTTAAACTTGTAGTGATCCACCTGTTTACAGCCTCCGAAGAGCTGGGATTATAGGTGCACACCACTACGCCCAGTCTCAGTTGCAGTCTCAGCCCACCGCGGGGCCAGGACCAGCACAGCAAGCCTGGGGATTGAACCCCTGGCCCCTGAACCTGCTTGCAGGAGCTTTAATCCTCTGAGCTATTTGACTGGCCCCTAGAACATTCTTAAAACCCTCTACATTTCTTACTATTATTCTCTAATTTATAACAGATCTTATCAAAGATGCTCAGCCTCAGTTTGTCAGTGCTTCCTCATTGTCCACATTCACTTTGTGATTAGCTTTAAAATTAAAATATTCTTATCACTTCATTTTACTTTTTTTTTTTTTTTTTTTTTTTTTGCGGAACCAGGGATTGAACTCAGACCCTTGCACTTGCCAGGGAGCACTTATTCTGTTGAGCCATTTCCCTAGTCCCCTACCACTTCATTTTAAATGCATTTGTTAATTGTAAAGTTCATGATTGTGAAGCCTAATAGTTATATTTCCACTTTCATCTTATTCAACCAACAGAAGTGACCATTGCTTTCTTCTTTTAATATTTCTTTTCCTCTACAGTTTTGCCGTATTTATACAGCTTTCTTTGGTTTTTCTACTACTTCATTTTCCATCCTCTTCCTTTTATAAGTTATAATAATTGTGAGTCATAATTTATAGATTATATAATTTTCTAAAATATCCCTGGCTAGTACAGCAAATATTTTTCAAATCAGTTCTTCTCTGTTCAGACACTTCATTATGCCTAAAACACTACCTGAAGAAAAGTGCTGGGGTATGATCTCATAATGTTAGATGAATTGAGGAAAAACTTAGGTTTTTACTACTTTCACTTTGCACAATTCATTTCTTATTGACTTTGAGTTTTGAAAAGTGGCAATTATATTCTTTGATAATATATAACCAAATATTTCTGTGTATGCATATCCTTTTTCTAGACAGGAATTTAGAGGTAAAATAACCTCAATATTCTATAAGGGCATTGAATTTTTATTTTGTTTTTTTTTTACATGAAATTATCAGTCACTTTAATACTGGAAAATAGTAGTAGTAGTTGAAGAAATTCATTTGCATGTTTTAGTTAGGCACATTTAATCTGTCATAATATTTTACATTGAACTGTTAGCTCAAATTCTTAAAATAAATTTATAATAGGTTTTACTCTGTCTTACATTATGCAAAGACAATCAGCATTTGAATGTATTACATATTCTTGATAAAATTTTAGTTCCAGCATATATTTGATATATAATATGGTAGTCTAATTCTGTGAGTTATTATAAATGCTGTATTTATACACTCAGAGTAGCATCATCTCGAGTGTTGGGACAACTTATATTCAATGCATTTCAAGCTTGTTTTGTTTTATTTTTTAGATTGCATTTTCACAACACAATACAATCATGGATCTTGTGCAGTTTTTTGTCACCTTCTTCAGGTAATTTGCTTTTACTAACTTTGAACATATTAAGTCTGTTAGTCAAGTGCATAGTTTATTATTATTTTTAAATACATACCATGTCTTAAATACTTATATTTGTTATTTAACAATTATCACATTAGAAGGAACATCATTGAAATAAATTTGAAAAAGATTATTTTACTGTTGTTCTATTAAATTACTAGATGGAGTCTGTGGGTTGAGGATAATTTTTTCCTGCAATATAACTAAAGTCTGCTTGAATTAAGAAAACACTTTATGCAAAACATGGATTAGTTATATCTATTACAATGAAATGAATTCAGGTTTTTTTCTATATTTGTCATGTGTGTTGTGAAAAAGTAGGACATTTGTCACGTGTGTGGTGAAAAAATAACATTAAGTAGGACTCTTATAAACAGTAATGAGATAAAGGGGAAAGGAAGAGAGGGAATAGGAAAAAAAAAAGAAATGGAAGAAAAATAAGATATTTATATTGTGAATTTCTGTTAGTGCACTGAAAAGAAAGGTTTGTCTTACTATTGTTCTAACAATATCTCACGTTTATATCTTGTACTTTGAATAACTACTCAGGGTAAAAGTAGCAATATGTGTTAATGATGTATTGATTATTTTTACTCTCCTATTATTTTGTTTTGAAATTCTGTTTGTTTCTCTTCAAAATAAAAAGTAGAGCTTTTTTTTTAAAAAAAAAAGACAATTTTCAGAATTATAATGTGCTATTTTTAAGTATGCTAAAATGCTTACTTGTAGAAGAGATTCTCAGATAGTGTTTGTAGGAATTTTTCATGTTATATATAAAAACTATTTGAGATGTAAATAAAGACTCACTGGGTAAATAAGGAAGCTGATCTTTAGCCATGGAATATCTGTATTGTGGGATCTAGAAGATATTATTTTTCTCCACATTGTTACGCATATGTGCCACTCACAGCAGTCTTGGAGTTCCTTTGTGTAAGACAAATGTGACTCTTCTTCAGGCACATACAGCCCCACATCATAGCATACCAGAATGTGGTATGAAATTTCAGTCCTATTCACTGGCTTAATTGCTACCAATATTTTAGAGGATTTATACAATTAAATCTTTGAAATACAGTGTGGTAGGCACTTTCCTAATTGGTCTTCATGTCCAAATTTCCATACAGTACTTGAATTCCTATTTCCTTCTGTATTTGAATCCTAAAATATTTTCGGTCAGTAGTCAGATAATATATATTTCAACATTTGTGGGTTAAATAGACTCTGTTGTATTCGTGTAACACTTTTGCTATAGTACTAAAGCAGCTAGAGCTATAAATGGAAGAAAAAAATCAGGATGTCTTTGGGGCAATAAAACTTTATTATAAAACATCTCTTTGGCTGAATTTGGCCTGTGGTCATAATTTGCTCATTCCCTTTCATGGCTGAGGGCTAGCCATCTTCTGAAAGAGCACTTTTTAGTATTACACTGCTAATTGTTCTTTATAATTGAGCTGAAATCTGTCTCACTTTAATAGCTCTTCCAATTCATCCATAGGAGACATTTATAACATGTCTATTCTCTCATCACTCTTATATTCCTTAAAATTTGTAAATATTTTTCTTCAACTAACACTCCTTGTTCATTGTCTCACTTCCAATTTTTAAATCTTAGCCATATTGGACTCTATACTCCAAAAATAATTCTATTTGCTTAGGACCCTTAAAATTATTAATTTTAAAATTATAATATTATAAAAGTCACTAACATATGTGGAAATAGCATTCATACTAATGTTATTCTTTACAAATGGAAGAAACTCGCTAAATAATGTATGTTTTATGATTTTATACTTCAGAATATACGTGAATTTTAAGATTAACAAAGTTGAATTTTTAGAAAACAATAGAGTTTACACTTGAAAAAGCATTATTTTGTGCATTAAAAGAAAATTACTTTGTAACACAGATAATGTGGGTAGAAATTTACTTAAAAGTCAGTAATGCACAAAAATCACATAGTTGAATATGTATATATAGAAAATTATTTAAATATTTATGTTTTTAAACTTTTGAATTTGTGTGCATGTTTAAATTAAAATTTCTTTTATTAAGCAAAAGAATACTGGCATTAACATGTACCATCTCTTAAAGATGATCCTATTTATTATATTGTCATCATGGACAAAGTGAAATAATATATTCTTATCATTGTTTGAAACCAAATATATTTGAAGGGCGTTTTGTCATTTAAATTTCTTCCAGTAGTGAAATGTAAATTAGATAATTTTAAATCATTTCATTGTTCACAAAAAAGACTGAATATTTTTAAGTTTCTTAACTAATTATTTTTTCAAAGGCCACTGCTACATTTTAAAAACATTTTCAACAAGGTAAAACTTATGAATACACTTTAAAATCAGCTCTTCATTCCTGCTATTGCATTTATAACTCAGTTTGAGAGGAAGCAGAGATAAGGGAATGTGTCAGCTTTCAGTGTAGTTATAGCTTTGTAGGGGTCACTTCTCACATTTTAGTACTATATTTTTACCTCTATCTCATATAGAGCTCTTGTGTTAAGCATAATTGATTATTAGAGGTGATTTATAGACATAGCCTGACTTTGATCTTAGCCTTTTGTGCTATCTTAAGTGTGTCACCTAGCTTTTCTAATTGTATTCCTTTCCTATATAGAAATATAAAGGTCTTTTGTTGTCATTATAGTGTGTGTTATAATAGAGTAAATTACTAAAACACCCAAAAGTATCAGTTTTAAAATATTTTTTGTTGTGTAGAAATGGAAAAATAAGTACTTGAATTGAAAATATATATTCTTTATTTTAGATAAATAGATTAAATGGGATATGACAAGTTTTCATTGGTGCCAATAATTTTTACTATACCATTATGTATGATCACAATCTTTCAGTTTCTGTAGTGCAGTTTGTAGGGGACATTTTCACAACTCTTTCCCACTTTGATTGATTCTACCCTGTAGGCCAGGGATGTAGTGTAGTAGTTACTCCAACTATCTTGTTTATGGATTCTAATTAAACATTTAAGGACTGAGGAAATTACTACTTGATAGATTCATAGACCCAGTTACCTCATGTGAGCCAGAATTTAGCTAGGCTTTGTTACTTATACCCTATCCCACTCCCTGACACCACAACTCTAACAATAGGCCACGATGACATTTCAAGTCCTTGGTTATCTGTATCACTTTTGACCTCGTGTCCAGTAATAGTCACAAAACTGCTTATTCCTCTTCGACTGTATAGATCCATGTGTATACCTCTGTATATACACAAGTAAGTGATACTAAGTTATTTGATATCATTTTATATACTTCTAAGGATGTCTTATTGTTTTTCTTCAGTGGATCCTACTACCTATACATTCATTAGATTCTACATTTGAAACTTAGTCCACCTCAAGGATCTAAGCAGAGGATTATAACTTTTTTGTTGAAGCAACCACCTTCAGCCTCCTGTATCCCCAGAAGTTATCTCTTCTTTGTTCTTTTCCCTTATGTCTGTCAGGGCAACTTAGGCATTTCAATTTCATTTTATTGTGACTATTGCTTTTTCCAGGCTTCTAAGAGTTACTCCAGTAACAAGGAATCCCCTGGAATCCTCAGTAGGTCATGACATCTTCTGTGGTCCTGAAAATATATACATAAAGCAATGCATTTTTGCCTAGCAAGACTTACATTGCATCTCCTGTCCCGAACCAATGGGTCAGTCAACGAAGGTCACCTAGGAGAGGAGCGGGGAATTGAGGAGGGGACAAAGGACAGGAGACACGAGAAATGGAAATAAGACAGGATTCTGATCAAGTCTTGTTTATTGAGGGGAGGTGCTGGATATATATAGTGGAGGCATAGGGAAATGATGTTGGCGGGTAAAAGGTGCGAGTAACTAGGCAACCGGGCTATGACAGGAAGACCCACCTCCGGGGCATAGCAGGAGACTTATGGGAAATAGGCAGGGTAAAAGAACTAGGATCTTAGCTCAGCAGAGGTAGGGGAAGAGAAACCCATAAACCCACTTGCAATAGGATTGGAGGCCTGGAGTTATTGTGCCTGCCACAGGTCCCCCTTTACTTTTATATATGTGTATAAAATATTGCTTCTGTAGACGGCTGATTCCCTTGAGGTGGCAGTGCCTGTCTTAGGTCGAGGTGTCCTCTACATGGACTCAACTCAAACCTTACCTGTCATAGGAGACCAGGACAGCAGAAGGTCCCGTTCCTGTCTTAGGTGGCGAGTGGTGTCTCGTGTATGCCCCTCATTACCTGTCTTGGCTAACCTCACCATCTCACCAAGGGTGGGAGAACTAAAAGGTCTCCAGACCTTCATCATCATAAGCTGGTTGTATTCCAGCACAGTTTTCCCTTTCAGCCATCTCAACCCTGTGATAATGAACCTGAATAGGCTTCATCAAGGCCACATCCAATTGTTGTTTAAGGAAAGTCATCAGCCTATTGAAAAGACAGAGTCCTATTGATAAAAGTATTAATAGTCCAATCAAGGGTCCCAATAGGGGGAGAAGGTAGGGTAGTACTCCATTCCGTGCACTCCAGAAAGGGTTTTCAAATAGCTCCCTTCTCCTCTTAATAAGATCTTCTTGAAGTCTCTTTATTTTATCTTGAACAATACTGGACTTGTTTGCGTAGAAGCAGCAGCGTTCCTGTAAGGCCAAGCAGAGCCCTCCCTGCTCTGCTGTTAGAAAGTCTAAGCCCCTCCTATTTTGCAAGACTAATTCTGCTAATGAATCTATCTGGTCTTGGATATCTTGGATAGTACCAGACAGTGTTTGAACATCATCAGCTGTTTGATAATATGGTATAAGAATGTACTGCTACTCCCAACATTGCTGTGCCTGTCTCCATGGCTGCTGTGACTCCTAGCCCCACTAATAAAGGGATGAACTGGACTGGCCTCTTTGTGCGGCCCATAGCATAATCTAAACTGGGAAGGGGTACGGGATCATTACCAGAGATGACATCTATATCGGGCAATACAATTGCCATGA